AACAATGAACTAGCAGAGAAATCAGGAAAACAGTTCCATTTACAATTGCATCATAAAGAATAAAATACCTGGGAATAAACTTAACCAAGGAGGTGAAAGACCTTTACCCTGAAAAGTACAAGACACTCATGAGAGAAATAAGACACCAATAAATGGAAAAACATCCTGTGCTCATGCATAGGAAGAATTAATATTTTCAAAATGACCATCCTGCCTAAAGCAATCTACAGATTCAATGCTATCCCTACCAAATACCAGCAGCATTCTTCAACAAACTAGAGAAAATCATTCTAAAATTTATGTGGAACCACAAAAGACCCTGAATAGCCAAAACAATCCTGAGAAGGAAGAATAAAGCTGGGGGGGTTACACTTCCCAACTTCAAGCTCTACTACAAAGCTGCAGTAACCAAAACAATTTGGTACTGGCACAAGAACAGACCCACAAATCAATGTAACAGAATAGAGAGCCCTGATATAAACCCAAACATATTCAGCTAATATATGGTAAAGGAGCCATGGATATACAATGGGAAAATGACAGTCTCTTCAACAGTTGGTGTTGGCAAAACTGGACAGCTACATGTAAGAATGAAACTGGATTATTGTCTAACTCCATACACAAAAGTAAACTCAAAATGGATCAAAGACCTGAATGTAAGTCAGGAAACCATAAAACTCTTAGAAGAAAACATAGGCAAAAACCTTTTGAATATAAACATGAACAACTTTTTCCTGAATACATCTCCTTGAGCAAGGGAAACAAAAGCAAAATGAACAAATGGGACTTCATCAAACTAAAAAGCTTCTGTACAGCAAAGGACACCATCAGTAGAACAAAAAGGCATCCTACAGTATGGGAGAATATATTCATAAATAATGTATCCAATAAGGGGTTGACATCCAAAATATACAAAGAGCTCACGCACTTCAACAAACAAAAAGCAAATAATCCAATTAAAAAATGGGCAGAGGATTTGAGCAGACACTTCTCTAAAGAAGAAATTCAGATGGCCAACAGGCACAGATGGCCACATCACTAATTATCAGGGAAATGCAAATTAAAACCACAATGAGATATCACCTCACACCAATGAGGGTGGTCAACATCCAAAAGACAAGGAACAACAAATGCTGGCAAGGATGTGGAGAAAGGGAAACCCTCCTGCACTGCCGGTGGGAATGTAAATTAGTTCAACCATTGTGGAAAGCAATATGGAGGTTCCTCAAAAAATGAAAAATAGAAATACCATTTGACTCAGGAATTCCACTCCTAGAAATTTACCCAAAGAAAACAAGATCACAGATTCAAAAAGACGTATGCACCCCTATGTTTATCGCAGCATTATTTAAAATGGCCAAGATAATGGAAGCAACCTAATTGTCCATCAGTAGATGAGTGGATAACAAAGAGGTGGTACATATACACAATGAAATATTATTCAGCCATAAGAAGAAAACAAATCTTACCATTTGCAACAGCATGGATGGAGCTAGAGGGTATTATGCTCAGTGAAATAAGCCAGGTGGAGAAATGCATGAGAGAAAAATTATTTCACTCATTTGTGAAGTATAACAATGAACCAAAACTGAAGGAACAAAACAGTAGCAAACTCACAGACTCCAAGGGACTAGAGGTTAGAAAAGGGAAGGGATGGGGGAGGGTAGGTGGGAGGGAGGGAGAAGTGGATTAAGGGGTATTATGATTAGCACACATAATGTGGGGGATCACGGGGAAGGCAGTATAGCACAGAGAAGACAAGTAGTGACTTTATAGCATCTTACTATGCTGATGGACTGACTGCAATGGGATGTGGGGGGACACTTGATAATATAATGTAATAACCACAGTGGTGCTCAAGTGAAACCTTCTTAAGATTGTATATCAATAATACATTACTTTTAAGAAGTATTAAAAAATAATTGGAGGCAGTGATAACTGAAAGCAGGGAAATGAGTGTGAGAAGAATTGTGAAACTAAAATCTTTTGTGACTTAAAAACATTGAATTTATGTGAGGTGTAAAAGAGTCCCAAAGTTTCAAGTCTAGGTGACTGGAAAATAGAAATATTAGAGTTAAAACTTGAGGGGAGAAAGTGTTTTAGCTTTGTACCTATTAGGATTTCTGCAAGTGTGAGAAATCTAGGTAGAGATGTCCTGCAGTTCTTTCTTAATTATTTGCTGAGCACCTTTTAATGTTCTGGGCACTGTTTAGGGTGATGGGGATACAGTGGTGAACAAGGCACATACATCATTCAATATCTGTGAGTGAATTTGTAGAAGCTAACTGCCTTCTATGGAGTACAGGTTTTTAAGGGAGGGTGGAGATGGGGGAACGCAGAGGCAGATGAGGACACTGCAGGCCTCCAGTGGGGCTGGGCAGACTTGGGCAGTGTTGATGGCAGTGGAGGTGGAGAGTAGACCAAACATATATTTTGGAGAGACAGCCAGAGGGACTTGCAGTTGGCTTGGATGGGAGATGGGAGAGAAAGGTTATACTCAAAGTTTCGGCTTGAGTGGGTACATAGTGGTGCTATTTACTAGTGAGGAAGACTGAGGGAGGAAGATCCCACTGAGATGGTGGCAGGAGAAAAGTCAGGTTAGATAGCTGGGAGTCATTTTCACAGAGCGGGTGAGAGAATATGGTATATTGGGGGTCGGGGGGAAGCCTCATTTATGAGGAGTAGGAGGAAGGTAACTGGCTACTCAGGTAAGTAGGCTGAAAGAGGGGCCCTTGCAATCAAATCACAAGAAGCCTAGGCTGTGAAAAGCTTTGAAATTTTAGCAGAATTAAAAGACCCTGAAGGTGGAGAAGCTATTACTGCATGGTGTGACCCAAGGAAGTAGAGACACCTAGCATGATATTTGTCCATCTCAAATCTCCAAAAATATGGATGGATGGAAATCACTGAAGGAATTCTCTGGGGCTACCTCCACCCACCAAGCCCTTCCCCTGCCACATTCTCATCATAGTACCCCTGGCTAAGGATGTTTTCTAAATGTCTGTTTTCATTTCTGTAGATGGAAGGCTTCTCCCAATCCCTGCTATTAACCTGTTAGCCCCACTCTTCTGCCTCAAGAAGTTATTTTCCTTCTCTCTTCTCTTTATGCTACCATTAACTTTTGAACAGTAACGTGATTATTTTAGAAAAATAAAGTGGTGCTGAGTGTCACTTTGTGCAGTCTGAAGTTAGGAGACCCTATTGTCATTATTTCCTGCTTCTGCTGGCCTCTTCTATTCAGAAAAGGTATTAATGAACTTCAGCAGTTAACAGAACTGCCCCCTCTTTATGCCTTTCCTACTATATTTGAAGCCCATATGATGTTTGTAAAATCTGGGTTTATACAAGAATCAAGTTTCTGCCTCAGATGGGCTCCTGCACTTTGCCATCAAAGGACTTGTAGAATCCCTCCCCAAAAATTGTTTGGTTTCCCCAGAAAGACATTTCTGTGTCTCCTTCATCCCCATCATCCAGTCTTACTTTCTTCTCTCACTGCTTCTCTGGAAAGAATCTCCCCTCTGGGGAGAGGGGACAGAAGTGAACAGTGACAATGAATGTAACCTCCAGCGTTTATGTGAGGGGTTGCCTGAGATCTGGGAAGATGCCTGGAAGGAGACTTCCTGGTCCTGTTTCCCCCCAAACCCCACATCCTGGGAGGACCCCCCAGTCACTCTGGGAGATGGCTTTATCGAAAACCCACCTTCCATCTTTGTCCTAACCTAGAAACTGTTAGGAAGCCACAGTGAGACAGCTCAAGGGAAAATTCCTGTCAGCACCAAGTCCTGTTGTCCTCCTCAGCACACTTCTTCCCATCTCTAGCCCCGCCCCTCCCCACCCCACCCCACCACACACAAAAGGCTCTCTCTCTGTTTAACTGAGATTTTGGATGCTTTGTGCTTGGCTGGGAATCCCGACTGGGTCCTCCTGAGTGAGGCCCCTCCTCTCTCTACAAATCCAAGAGACTTTTTTTCTGAGACATTGTCCTGAAGCAGTCCTCATCTCTATAGTACTTACACGTGTTGCTCCTCTTTTTTTTTTAACTATCCTGACTTTGAGGCAGTTTAAGAGGAGGCAGAAATATGAGCTGTGGGGATTTTCTCGTCTCTGTACTTTGTAGGAACTGCCCTGACTTGGGGCCAGATCTGGGCTGGAAGGTGATCAAGTTTATAAGCAGGGACATAATGCTAGTGGAAGAGTGGGTAGCTGCCTGCATGCAGCGAAGTCAAAGGCCACCCCTGTATGAGCCCCCAGGACTCAGCTCTAAGGCAGCTCTCAACGGGGGTGGGCGTGGGGACCTTAGTGCTTATGAAGCAGTCGTCTTCTGCTTGATGGGGACATTGCTGCAGCCTGCTTGATGCTTCGTGCGATCTTTGCCTTAGGTCAGAGAACATGTAACCGAGCCTGTGAGAGGAGCGCTTCCTGGACTTTGAGTCTAACAAACTGGGCTCAGCCCCTGCAGCCAGCCCCTAGCAGGTTCATGCCTCTGGGCCTCTGTTTCCCCAACTGTAAAATTATGTCTACCTCACAGGACTGTTGGGAGGTTAGATGAAGAAATGTACACTAAGGGCTAGAACAGAATAACAGACAGAGCAAAAGCTTAATAAATGGTAGTGGTGCAGTTACCTCCCAGTACCCCACTGACCAGGGGCAGGGGCAGCTCAGCCGCCCGAGTGGGGGAGAAGTGGAGCTCTGGATTGACACTGGGGGACAGGGATGGACACAGGAGAGAGCCCTGCTGACCTGCTTGCTTCCCTGTTTGCCCAGCTCCACAGAGTATTCCAGAATTAAGTCCCAAAAAAGGGCAGTTAAGAGGAGGATCATGAAGCTGTGATCAAGGCCCAGTGCTGCTCCAAGGCAAGGGCTGGCTGGGCCTTCCTGATGGTTTTCTCTTCCAAACTTCACTCTTTACTTCCCTCCCTTGTCCTCCCCAGTATGCATGATCTGATACCCTCAACCTTCCAACACTCTAATTTGGTACTTTTGAACTTTTTTCTTTATTTAAACAGAAAAGACCAACTCTTTAAAAGTAAAATGCAATAAATAAATAAGTTAAGCATAGAGAAGTGTCTGAAACTGACTCTCCAGTCTCCCCTTACCACACCCACACCCACCCCATTTTTTTCTCCTAAAACCTCTTCCTAAAGAAAATGATCATGTAATAAACCCCTTTAGCCCTCCCCACACCCCACCTCCCAAATACCCAATTACCCTCCAAAACAAAGGGAGAAATCAAGAGAGAAAAAATCCAAGGGAAACAATGTCTAAACTCCCAGAAAGAGAGATGGCAGCATCCGGGCCAGGCCAGGCTCGATAATGCACGGGTGGTAGTGGTATTTACAAGGAGGGGACCAGCAGAGACTGTAAACATTTTTAGGGGCTTGGGAGAGGTCTTTTCCTCATGAAAGGAGGAGGGTCTCTGTGGCTGACTGGTAGAAGGGCAGCCTTCAGGGCTCCCCAACACCCTCCTCAGAGGGGGCCCTTGGGAGAGGCAGTTGAGTTTCAGGGCTGGGTGCCCAGGGTTCAGGGATATCCTACCTCTAGCTGAGGGTGGCGGGGAGGAAGAACCACCTTCTGAGATACCCCTAATGTGGAGAAGAGGCTGGGGTTGATGGTGTGATGGGGAACATGTGGGAGGCCCCTGTTGCCCTTCCAGGGCCACAGAGGAAGAACAGGCCAGCTGTGGGGGAAGGCCGGTGCGAAGGCCTGCCACAGGAGCCCCAGCAGAAGGCAGATGCTCCAGAGCCTTCAAGCCTGTCCCTTGCTCCCTCACAGAGGCCAAAAGGGCACCTGGGAGCAAACAAGCCTCTCAGGAAAGGAGGAGTGGTAGGAGTGGGCTGGTGTCCTGTGCCACCAGGGCCATGAAGCAGCTTTTGCCCCAGAGCCCAATCAAGGCCTGGGCAGATGTGCAGAGAGGGCTGGGGCCAGTCATGGGGAAGGGGGAAGTGCCCCTTCCTCTGTTGTCTCCAGACCTGTGAAGGAAGGAAACACACCGGTGACACTGTGGGCAAGACAGCAGCAGGTGCAGGTCACAGGCTCTGGGGGCAGAGGTAGCTGGATGGCTGACATGGTACAGGATGGAGCTGCCTAGGGGGAGATGGTTCCAAAGTGAACCATCTGCCCCCCAGACATTTGACAAGGGTCAGGGATGGAGGAGACGGATGTTGGGGGAGAGGGCAAGTGATACCAGAAACCGAAGGACATTAGGAAGGAAATGTTCAAATAGTCCCTGGGAAAGAGAAAGACTAGTAGATACATAGAGAGGGACTAGAGGGGGAGAGAAGCCAAGAGACAAGACAGCAAACAGGCAGGCAGTAATAACTAAAGGACAGGGGTCGGGGCACAGTGTTTGGGCAGACACTCGGAGAAAGAGCACGGCAGTGTCGGCAAAGGGACAGCAGAGCTGGGCAACGTAGGGCCCAGGGCTGGAGTCTCGTGGAGTGAGACACCCCAGCCCCAAGGGGGTGCTCAGCCCTTTTTGGAAAGGAACAAAGAAAGCAAGAGAGAAATGCACAGAACACAGACTACAGTCACCAACCACTGTTGACCAAGCACATCCCGCGAGCTGCCCCTGCCCTGACCCTGGGCTGGGGGGCGCTTCCCTCCTCAGACCCCTCCCCAAATAACAAACAATTGGCTCCAAAGACAACACGCTCGTTCCATGCAACTTACAGGGGCCCGGAGCAGGGGTCCGGGGATGGGGGCTTCAGCCGACAATGGACACGGGCCCTGGGCTGGAGGGCCCCCAAGGTGGGGGAAGTTAAGCAGCCAGGATTGGAGGGGAAAGGGGAGAAACAGAAAATGTGGGTATTGTTCTTGGGTTGTGTTTTTCCAGAGGTTTGGTCCAAAGAAGATTAAACAACACAAAAGTAACCAGCTTAGCTCAGCACTCTGTGGCCATGAGGTGAGGTGGGGGTGGGCAATGGATGTGGGGACCTGTTTAAGTGAAATTCCCAGGCAGTCCAGCTTTGCAGCCAGCCTCCTGCACCTGAACCAAAGCTGCTCCTGAGAGGTCTGGGGCTTGGACTGCCCCCAGTCTGTTTTGTGCATGCTCTGGTGCCCCACTGGTCTGCTGCTACATAAGAGAAATCACCTGAGTCCAGGAGGACCTGTGTCCCCAGTTCCCAGAAGAACAGAAACTCCAGGAGCCAAGATTCTAGGACCCCCACCCCCACTAGTATCCTAAACCAGCCGAATTGTACTTCCCTAATTCCACTCCAGCCCAAAGGAAAACCAGAAAGAGAGAGAAACACACAGACACATGGACACTGACCAGACAAACAAGACCAGGTACTGGGCAAGATCTGAGGAGTGGACAGAGGTGTGTACAGACTTGGCTATCTCTGGGCTCACAGGGTGTGTATGTGTGTGTGTGTGTGAGAGAGAGATTGAGAGAGAGAGAGACAAGGAGGGACAGACAGAATGGCCTGGATGACTGGGAATCAGCCAAGGGAGCTGCTGCAGATCCCTGCTTCAGGCACCCAGAGAGACAGGGCTGGGTGGGGGCCTCCCCGAGGGTGGTGGGAGAGAGGGTATGGGAAGCCCAAGTGAGGGCCCTGGCTGCCAGGTGCAGGGGCTGGGGAGGCCGCAGGATGGGAGGGGACCCACCTGGGGCCCTCAGTAGGGCCGGTTGGCATCCTTAGGCCGCTTTAGCTGGACTTTGAGGCGCTTCATGCCAATCTGGAAACCGTTCATGGCTTGGATGGCAGCCTGGGCACTGGCTGGATTGTCGAAACTCACAAAGCCTGAGGTGAGAGTGGCATAAGGCCTGGCTCAGCCCCACCTCACCCTCCTGTGCTTAAAGCCATGGCCTGCTCTTTGGCTGCCCAGCACCACCCTGCTTCTCCAGGTATTCCAAAAACTGGGAAAACTGCTGGGCACACATTAGGCATCCAGTAAGTAGTTGTGGATGGGCAGGTTGAGCCAATGAATCCAGTCGAGCCACCCACACACACTGAGACATTCTTTCCAACATTCTTTGAGAGGCAGCCCCTTCCTCAGCCTGGATACCTCTGAACTTGCCTTTTGAAAATATCACTTCCAGCCCTAAATGACTTCTGAAGTAGGAGGACAAGAGCACCCCCTTCTCCTCTGTGGCAGCCTTTCAGAGACATGAAGGCACCTAACCCCAACTCCCTAAGCCTGCCTTTGAAAACCAAATATTTCTGCTGCTGAGCCCATCCCACACTTCACAGAGAATAAACACAAACAGTTCTTACGAAGGAAAAATGGAGCTGTAGTTTTCTGAAGGAAGAGATGGACCTGGGCAGCAGTGGGTATGGGATGTCAGGTATGTAAAAAATGGTTCTTTCTGATTCTTGGACAGTCTGGATTTCAAATACTGGACCCACTGCAATCTAAGTGCCTTCAAAGTATCAGACTTCGTCATCATTTGGAGTTTGGTAAAAGTGTGCCATATTTTTCTTTCAGATCATAACATTCTTACCAAAACACTTGCTCTGATTGGTAGCCCGGTCAACAAAGACTTTGGCTGAGATGACATGGCCAAAGGGGACAAACATCTGGAGGATTTCTGAGTCAGTGAACTCCTGGGGCAGGTGGTAGATGAAGATATTGCAGCCATCAGGGCCTGGGTGGCAGCAGAGACAGAAAGGAGAGCTCAGTGACCAGGAGACAGACTCAGGGGGCAAGGGCCCCCGCGAGAGCAGGTCCTGGGAGGACCCTTCAATCCCAGCTTCCAGAATGTGGGCCAAGGCACCAGTCACCTCACCCCACTTGCTTTCTTCTGCACAGGGGGCCAGAGCTGGGCTTGGAGTGGGCACAGGGATTCCCTGAGCCCCGGACAAGGGCACCCAATCCCAGAAGGCACTTGCCAGCAGGACCCTGCCCAGGCACACCTTCCCGCTGCTGCGGCTGGGGCTGCTGCGGCTGCTGCTGCTGGGGGGGCGGTGGGGGCTGCTGTGCGACCAGGGCAGGAGGTTGCGGGAATGCAGGTGCCACCAGGCTGTAGGCTGTGGGGTAGGCTGCTGCCGTGGGGAGAACAGAGAAAGCCGATGGATGCCCCTGGTCCCAGGCCCTTACAGCCAGTCCTGTCTCCCTTCCCCTAGCCCAGGCCTATGGAGCTGACTGGGCTGGGAGTGGTCAGAGAGGAGCTGCCTGGGAGTCTGGGGGCACCGCCAGGTCTCATGGCGCATCCTCACAGGTAAGGCCTGACAGTAAGCCTGAGGGGTGGGTGGTGGGGAGCCTGCGTCTCTTTTCCTCTTGCCATTCCTCCCATCTAGACCAGGGCCTGGGTTGAGGCTCCTCACCTGTATAGTGCTGCATCCCCGCGTAGGCCTGCTGGAGGGGGTCCACGGGGGCCGCGGTGCTCTGGGCTGGGAAGAGCAGCACCCATTGTGAGAGTGGGGCTGGGGCGCACCTGGAGCCCCACCGTGCCCTTCTGAGTGAAGGCCAGGCAGGTGGGGAGGAGAGCCTCATCTGGGTATGGGGTATGAAATGAGAGGGTAGGAATGCACAGAGCAGTGGTGATGGGGGAAAGCCTGACATTGGCAAGACTTGAGTTTATGACTGGTTACGCAGCTCTGGACAGCTCCCTTGGCCTCTGAGAGCCTCAGCTTCCTGGCTGAGGACGGGAAGGAGCATCTCTGTGCAGGGCTCCCAGGCAGGCACAGCACCTTAGAACCCCGGAGCCTGGGGAGGGCCATGGCTCCTGCCAGGGGAGCAGTGGCTTGGCTAGTTGCTGGGAAGGGGATGGGCAGGCAGAGACCCCCACCTGGGTAGGGGTGAACCCCGTTGGGATACAAAGCATCAGTGGCAGGCTGCCCGGTGGGCTGGGTGGGCACTGGGCTGTAGCCGTTGACACCCAGGGCAGCAGGAATTGCAGACACGGGTGTGGCAGCGATGGCGGGAGGGGTGCTGGTTCCTAGGGAGGCAAAAGGAGCAGAGGCAGAGGAGAGAAGCAGACATACCCAAGCGAATGCAGGGAACCAGTCAGCAAGTCTGAGGCACAGGGGAGGAAGCAGGCTACTCTCCGAACCCTGAGCCCCTTCTCGACCCCACAGATTCCCTGAGCAGGGCCTGTTCCCCACCCCCATGCTGCCACAACCTGTGGTAGCTCCCCTGACTGGTCCCAGTCACACCCGGCCCAGCCTGCCTGGCGTGGACCTTACCTGAGGAGGGGGTGATGGGGGTGGCAATGAGGCCATTGGCGTTGATGGCAGCCATGTGCTGCATCTGCACAGCAGCCATGGTGGCCATGGGGCTGAGGTAGGCGCTGTGCGCTGCCACCAGCGCTGCCTGCTGCTGTATCAGCTGGGGGCAGCAGAGGAGAGGAGAGTGGGACCAAGCCCCCTTTTCCCTAGCCTGGCCCCCCTCCCACTCCTGGGCCTCTGCTCTGGGAGGGAGGGCACAGGACATAGGAGGCCGGGAGAGGTGAGGCAGACCAGACCCAGTACCAGGGCAGTGCTCACAGCCTGGGTGTAGGCGCTGTAGGCTCCGAACTGGAGAGCGATGGGGCTGAACATGCCTAGCTGGCTCGCCACCTGCTGCATTCTGCGGAGACCTCGCTCCTTCTCGGTGTCAGCAAACTTCACCACCAGGCTGGATGAGGCACCCTGGGCGTAGGCCCCACATGCAGTCAGAGGGATGGAGTCGGGGCCCTAAGGACCTGGCCTCAGTCCCGCTGCTCATGGCTTGGCCTCTTTGGGAGGGCAGCCATCACTGCACCTCTGTCGGATGGGGAGCTTTCAATCCCACCCTCCCCCTGTGCCAAGATGCACACGAGACTAGAAGAAGTTGAGGAATGTGAAGTCATGTGCTTGCAAAGGGAAAGCCCTACCAGAATGCCAAGGGTATCCTGGCTTCTCTGTGAGGACTCTGAGCTGGAAGTCATCCCCAGGGTGGACTGGCCACAGCAAATGTTCTACCTCAGGTTGGTCTTGCCTTATAGCTGCCCTACCCCCTTACCATGCATGATTCCTGCCTCACACCCCAGTCCTCATGGTGTGCTCGGGGAATGCAGCCTCAAATTTTAATACCAGCCTGTACCAAATAAAGGCCAAGCTGGAACATTCACAGGATTTCTGTGGAATCCTAGAGTCTGGAAGGCAGTGCCCTATCTGACGCTGTACCTCTTTGCCAAGCTTCTGTTGAGTGCTTGCCCAGCCTCTGCTGGAGGAGCTCGAGTTCTGGGAGGCCCGCCTTCTCCAGCCACCCTGCTGGGAGCCCTCCACCAATGCAGGTTGGTGTCCCGCTGCTAATGTGCAGGGCAGCAGCATGAATGTGTGGAGGGCACAGCGGGCCTCTAAGCAAGTGTCCTGATGCCCGGCCAGTGAGGGTGGGAGAGAGGGGAAGGTGGGAGAAGTGGTGGGAGATGAAGGAGAGGGCTGAGAGACAGAGAAGGCAGGTGAGGAGGGGAGGGCATATGGGACAGGGGCAGAGGGCATGAGGGAGGAGAGGGTATTTGAAATGGGAAGGTGTCCCTGAGAAATTTGGTTCTTGTGCTGGAAAATTCTTTTGAATAAATTTAAAGACCCTCTCTGGGATGGACTGCCCCAGCCCCTGCACTAGGGCCTGGCAGCAGGCCAGGTGGGACCCAGGGAGCAGGCTCACTGGCAGGGTCCGGCTGTTGTGGAGGGTGTGGATGGCGGCTTGGGCCTCAGCATGGGTCTGGAACTTCACAAAGGCACAGCCTAGAGAGTTCGAGAAGGAGGAGGGAAGGGTGAGTGCCCACTCTTGAAGGCCCCACAATCCCCATTGCCCAGAGGACCAGTGAGATAAGGGCAGGGAGGTGAGAGGTCCCTGGTGGGGAACAGGTAGTGCATAGTAGGTACCTTTGCTGGTGCCATCTGGCCCCCGGAGCACAGTGCACTCATCTATGGTCCCGAAAGGCTCGAACATCTTCCTAACGTCCTCATCTGTCTGCTGCTTCCCTAGCATCCCCACAAAGAGCTTCCGGTCTTCTGGGGGGTAGAGCACAGGAGGAAGGGCATGTTCAGGGCCACCTGGCTGCTTTCACAGCCCTGTTCCAGCTTGGAACAGGCAGGAAGACTGCCCCTTCCCCTTCAGCACTTCCCTGGTGCTCCAGACACTCTCCTCACCCTGGGGACAAGTGGTTCTAGACTGTGAAAGGGATGGTGACTGGGGGATGGTGTACAATTACATGGAGTGCTCATCCCAGTTCTGAAGGACTGCACTCTACTTCGGGCCTCAGTTTTGCCATCTCTGCAATGGGCCAGATCATATCATCCAGCTACAATGACTTCTCTCCCCACCTTGACTGGGAACCCTTTGGAATCCTCAGACTTTCTTCATCAGGAGAGGTTGCCTCTCAGATACTCTAAGGCCTGGGTCTGCGGGCTGGTGGGGAAGGACTGAGTCCGAAGGTACAGAACCTACNTGGAGAAGCTATTACTGCATGGTGTGACCCAAGGAAGTAGAGACACCTAGCATGATATTTGTCCATCTCAAATCTCCAAAAATATGGATGGATGGAAATCACTGAAGGAATTCTCTGGGGCTACCTCCACCCACCAAGCCCTTCCCCTGCCACATTCTCATCATAGTACCCCTGGCTAAGGATGTTTTCTAAATGTCTGTTTTCATTTCTGTAGATGGAAGGCTTCTCCCAATCCCTGCTATTAACCTGTTAGCCCCACTCTTCTGCCTCAAGAAGTTATTTTCCTTCTCTCTTCTCTTTATGCTACCATTAACTTTTGAACAGTAACGTGATTATTTTAGAAAAATAAAGTGGTGCTGAGTGTCACTTTGTGCAGTCTGAAGTTAGGAGACCCTATTGTCATTATTTCCTGCTTCTGCTGGCCTCTTCTATTCAGAAAAGGTATTAATGAACTTCAGCAGTTAACAGAACTGCCCCCTCTTTATGCCTTTCCTACTATATTTGAAGCCCATATGATGTTTGTAAAATCTGGGTTTATACAAGAATCAAGTTTCTGCCTCAGATGGGCTCCTGCACTTTGCCATCAAAGGACTTGTAGAATCCCTCCCCAAAAATTGTTTGGTTTCCCCAGAAAGACATTTCTGTGTCTCCTTCATCCCCATCATCCAGTCTTACTTTCTTCTCTCACTGCTTCTCTGGAAAGAATCTCCCCTCTGGGGAGAGGGGACAGAAGTGAACAGTGACAATGAATGTAACCTCCAGCGTTTATGTGAGGGGTTGCCTGAGATCTGGGAAGATGCCTGGAAGGAGACTTCCTGGTCCTGTTTCCCCCCAAACCCCACATCCTGGGAGGACCCCCCAGTCACTCTGGGAGATGGCTTTATCGAAAACCCACCTTCCATCTTTGTCCTAACCTAGAAACTGTTAGGAAGCCACAGTGAGACAGCTCAAGGGAAAATTCCTGTCAGCACCAAGTCCTGTTGTCCTCCTCAGCACACTTCTTCCCATCTCTAGCCCCGCCCCTCCCCACCCCACCCCACCACACACAAAAGGCTCTCTCTCTGTTTAACTGAGATTTTGGATGCTTTGTGCTTGGCTGGGAATCCCGACTGGGTCCTCCTGAGTGAGGCCCCTCCTCTCTCTACAAATCCAAGAGACTTTTTTTCTGAGACATTGTCCTGAAGCAGTCCTCATCTCTATAGTACTTACACGTGTTGCTCCTCTTTTTTTTTTAACTATCCTGACTTTGAGGCAGTTTAAGAGGAGGCAGAAATATGAGCTGTGGGGATTTTCTCGTCTCTGTACTTTGTAGGAACTGCCCTGACTTGGGGCCAGATCTGGGCTGGAAGGTGATCAAGTTTATAAGCAGGGACATAATGCTAGTGGAAGAGTGGGTAGCTGCCTGCATGCAGCGAAGTCAAAGGCCACCCCTGTATGAGCCCCCAGGACTCAGCTCTAAGGCAGCTCTCAACGGGGGTGGGCGTGGGGACCTTAGTGCTTATGAAGCAGTCGTCTTCTGCTTGATGGGGACATTGCTGCAGCCTGCTTGATGCTTCGTGCGATCTTTGCCTTAGGTCAGAGAACATGTAACCGAGCCTGTGAGAGGAGCGCTTCCTGGACTTTGAGTCTAACAAACTGGGCTCAGCCCCTGCAGCCAGCCCCTAGCAGGTTCATGCCTCTGGGCCTCTGTTTCCCCAACTGTAAAATTATGTCTACCTCACAGGACTGTTGGGAGGTTAGATGAAGAAATGTACACTAAGGGCTAGAACAGAATAACAGACAGAGCAAAAGCTTAATAAATGGTAGTGGTGCAGTTACCTCCCAGTACCCCACTGACCAGGGGCAGGGGCAGCTCAGCCGCCCGAGTGGGGGAGAAGTGGAGCTCTGGATTGACACTGGGGGACAGGGATGGACACAGGAGAGAGCCCTGCTGACCTGCTTGCTTCCCTGTTTGCCCAGCTCCACAGAGTATTCCAGAATTAAGTCCCAAAAAAGGGCAGTTAAGAGGAGGATCATGAAGCTGTGATCAAGGCCCAGTGCTGCTCCAAGGCAAGGGCTGGCTGGGCCTTCCTGATGGTTTTCTCTTCCAAACTTCACTCTTTACTTCCCTCCCTTGTCCTCCCCAGTATGCATGATCTGATACCCTCAACCTTCCAACACTCTAATTTGGTACTTTTGAACTTTTTTCTTTATTTAAACAGAAAAGACCAACTCTTTAAAAGTAAAATGCAATAAATAAATAAGTTAAGCATAGAGAAGTGTCTGAAACTGACTCTCCAGTCTCCCCTTACCACACCCACACCCACCCCATTTTTTTCTCCTAAAACCTCTTCCTAAAGAAAATGATCATGTAATAAACCCCTTTAGCCCTCCCCACACCCCACCTCCCAAATACCCAATTACCCTCCAAAACAAAGGGAGAAATCAAGAGAGAAAAAATCCAAGGGAAACAATGTCTAAACTCCCAGAAAGAGAGATGGCAGCATCCGGGCCAGGCCAGGCTCGATAATGCACGGGTGGTAGTGGTATTTACAAGGAGGGGACCAGCAGAGACTGTAAACATTTTTAGGGGCTTGGGAGAGGTCTTTTCCTCATGAAAGGAGGAGGGTCTCTGTGGCTGACTGGTAGAAGGGCAGCCTTCAGGGCTCCCCAACACCCTCCTCAGAGGGGGCCCTTGGGAGAGGCAGTTGAGTTTCAGGGCTGGGTGCCCAGGGTTCAGGGATATCCTACCTCTAGCTGAGGGTGGCGGGGAGGAAGAACCACCTTCTGAGATACCCCTAATGTGGAGAAGAGGCTGGGGTTGATGGTGTGATGGGGAACATGTGGGAGGCCCCTGTTGCCCTTCCAGGGCCACAGAGGAAGAACAGGCCAGCTGTGGGGGAAGGCCGGTGCGAAGGCCTGCCACAGGAGCCCCAGCAGAAGGCAGATGCTCCAGAGCCTTCAAGCCTGTCCCTTGCTCCCTCACAGAGGCCAAAAGGGCACCTGGGAGCAAACAAGCCTCTCAGGAAAGGAGGAGTGGTAGGAGTGGGCTGGTGTCCTGTGCCACCAGGGCCATGAAGCAGCTTTTGCCCCAGAGCCCAATCAAGGCCTGGGCAGATGTGCAGAGAGGGCTGGGGCCAGTCATGGGGAAGGGGGAAGTGCCCCTTCCTCTGTTGTCTCCAGACCTGTGAAGGAAGGAAACACACCGGTGACACTGTGGGCAAGACAGCAGCAGGTGCAGGTCACAGGCTCTGGGGGCAGAGGTAGCTGGATGGCTGACATGGTACAGGATGGAGCTGCCTAGGGGGAGATGGTTCCAAAGTGAACCATCTGCCCCCCAGACATTTGACAAGGGTCAGGGATGGAGGAGACGGATGTTGGGGGAGAGGGCAAGTGATACCAGAAACCGAAGGACATTAGGAAGGAAATGTTCAAATAGTCCCTGGGAAAGAGAAAGACTAGTAGATACATAGAGAGGGACTAGAGGGGGAGAGAAGCCAAGAGACAAGACAGCAAACAGGCAGGCAGTAATAACTAAAGGACAGGGGTCGGGGCACAGTGTTTGGGCAGACACTCGGAGAAAGAGCACGGCAGTGTCGGCAAAGGGACAGCAGAGCTGGGCAACGTAGGGCCCAGGGCTGGAGTCTCGTGGAGTGAGACACCCCAGCCCCAAGGGGGTGCTCAGCCCTTTTTGGAAAGGAACAAAGAAAGCAAGAGAGAAATGCACAGAACACAGACTACAGTCACCAACCACTGTTGACCAAGCACATCCCGCGAGCTGCCCCTGCCCTGACCCTGGGCTGGGGGGCGCTTCCCTCCTCAGACCCCTCCCCAAATAACAAACAATTGGCTCCAAAGACAACACGCTCGTTCCATGCAACTTACAGGGGCCCGGAGCAGGGGTCCGGGGATGGGGGCTTCAGCCGACAATGGACACGGGCCCTGGGCTGGAGGGCCCCCAAGGTGGGGGAAGTTAAGCAGCCAGGATTGGAGGGGAAAGGGGAGAAACAGAAAATGTGGGTATTGTTCTTGGGTTGTGTTTTTCCAGAGGTTTGGTCCAAAGAAGATTAAACAACACAAAAGTAACCAGCTTAGCTCAGCACTCTGTGGCCATGAGGTGAGGTGGGGGTGGGCAATGGATGTGGGGACCTGTTTAAGTGAAATTCCCAGGCAGTCCAGCTTTGCAGCCAGCCTCCTGCACCTGAACCAAAGCTGCTCCTGAGAGGTCTGGGGCTTGGACTGCCCCCAGTCTGTTTTGTGCATGCTCTGGTGCCCCACTGGTCTGCTGCTACATAAGAGAAATCACCTGAGTCCAGGAGGACCTGTGTCCCCAGTTCCCAGAAGAACAGAAACTCCAGGAGCCAAGATTCTAGGACCCCCACCCCCACTAGTATCCTAAACCAGCCGAATTGTACTTCCCTAATTCCACTCCAGCCCAAAGGAAAACCAGAAAGAGAGAGAAACACACAGACACATGGACACTGACCAGACAAACAAGACCAGGTACTGGGCAAGATCTGAGGAGTGGACAGAGGTGTGTACAGACTTGGCTATCTCTGGGCTCACAGGGTGTGTATGTGTGTGTGTGTGTGAGAGAGAGATTGAGAGAGAGAGAGACAAGGAGGGACAGACAGAATGGCCTGGATGACTGGGAATCAGCCAAGGGAGCTGCTGCAGATCCCTGCTTCAGGCACCCAGAGAGACAGGGCTGGGTGGGGGCCTCCCCGAGGGTGGTGGGAGAGAGGGTATGGGAAGCCCAAGTGAGGGCCCTGGCTGCCAGGTGCAGGGGCTGGGGAGGCCGCAGGATGGGAGGGGACCCACCTGGGGCCCTCAGTAGGGCCGGTTGGCATCCTTAGGCCGCTTTAGCTGGACTTTGAGGCGCTTCATGCCAATCTGGAAACCGTTCATGGCTTGGATGGCAGCCTGGGCACTGGCTGGATTGTCGAAACTCACAAAGCCTGAGGTGAGAGTGGCATAAGGCCTGGCTCAGCCCCACCTCACCCTCCTGTGCTTAAAGCCATGGCCTGCTCTTTGGCTGCCCAGCACCACCCTGCTTCTCCAGGTATTCCAAAAACTGGGAAAACTGCTGGGCACACATTAGGCATCCAGTAAGTAGTTGTGGATGGGCAGGTTGAGCCAATGAATCCAGTCGAGCCACCCACACACACTGAGACATTCTTTCCAACATTCTTTGAGAGGCAGCCCCTTCCTCAGCCTGGATACCTCTGAACTTGCCTTTTGAAAATATCACTTCCAGCCCTAAATGACTTCTGAAGTAGGAGGACAAGAGCACCCCCTTCTCCTCTGTGGCAGCCTTTCAGAGACATGAAGGCACCTAACCCCAACTCCCTAAGCCTGCCTTTGAAAACCAAATATTTCTGCTGCTGAGCCCATCCCACACTTCACAGAGAATAAACACAAACAGTTCTTACGAAGGAAAAATGGAGCTGTAGTTTTCTGAAGGAAGAGATGGACCTGGGCAGCAGTGGGTATGGGATGTCAGGTATGTAAAAAATGGTTCTTTCTGATTCTTGGACAGTCTGGATTTCAAATACTGGACCCACTGCAATCTAAGTGCCTTCAAAGTATCAGACTTCGTCATCATTTGGAGTTTGGTAAAAGTGTGCCATATTTTTCTTTCAGATCATAACATTCTTACCAAAACACTTGCTCTGATTGGTAGCCCGGTCAACAAAGACTTTGGCTGAGATGACATGGCCAAAGGGGACAAACATCTGGAGGATTTCTGAGTCAGTGAACTCCTGGGGCAGGTGGTAGATGAAGATATTGCAGCCATCAGGGCCTGGGTGGCAGCAGAGACAGAAAGGAGAGCTCAGTGACCAGGAGACAGACTCAGGGGGCAAGGGCCCCCGCGAGAGCAGGTCCTGGGAGGACCCTTCAATCCCAGCTTCCAGAATGTGGGCCAAGGCACCAGTCACCTCACCCCACTTGCTTTCTTCTGCACAGGGGGCCAGAGCTGGGCTTGGAGTGGGCACAGGGATTCCCTGAGCCCCGGACAAGGGCACCCAATCCCAGAAGGCACTTGCCAGCAGGACCCTGCCCAGGCACACCTTCCCGCTGCTGCGGCTGGGGCTGCTGCGGCTGCTGCTGCTGGGGGGGCGGTGGGGGCTGCTGTGCGACCAGGGCAGGAGGTTGCGGGAATGCAGGTGCCACCAGGCTGTAGGCTGTGGGGTAGGCTGCTGCCGTGGGGAGAACAGAGAAAGCCGATGGATGCCCCTGGTCCCAGGCCCTTACAGCCAGTCCTGTCTCCCTTCCCCTAGCCCAGGCCTATGGAGCTGACTGGGCTGGGAGTGGTCAGAGAGGAGCTGCCTGGGAGTCTGGGGGCACCGCCAGGTCTCATGGCGCATCCTCACAGGTAAGGCCTGACAGTAAGCCTGAGGGGTGGGTGGTGGGGAGCCTGCGTCTCTTTTCCTCTTGCCATTCCTCCCATCTAGACCAGGGCCTGGGTTGAGGCTCCTCACCTGTATAGTGCTGCATCCCCGCGTAGGCCTGCTGGAGGGGGTCCACGGGGGCCGCGGGGCTCTGGGCTGGGAAGAGCAGCACCCATTGTGAGAGTGGGGCTGGGGCGCACCTGGAGCCCCACCGTGCCCTTCTGAGTGAAGGCCAGGCAGGTGGGGAGGAGAGCCTCATCTGGGTATGGGGTATGAAATGAGAGGGTAGGAATGCACAGAGCAGTGGTGATGGGGGAAAGCCTGACATTGGCAAGACTTGAGTTTATGACTGGTTACGCAGCTCTGGACAGCTCCCTTGGCCTCTGAGAGCCTCAGCTTCCTGGCTGAGGACGGGAAGGAGCATCTCTGTGCAGGGCTCCCAGGCAGGCACAGCACCTTAGAACCCCGGAGCCTGGGGAGGGCCATGGCTCCTGCCAGGGGAGCAGTGGCTTGGCTAGTTGCTGGGAAGGGGATGGGCAGGCAGAGACCCCCACCTGGGTAGGGGTGAACCCCGTTGGGATACAAAGCATCAGTGGCAGGCTGCCCGGTGGGCTGGGTGGGCACTGGGCTGTAGCCGTTGACACCCAGGGCAGCAGGAATTGCAGACACGGGTGTGGCAGCGATGGCGGGAGGGGTGCTGGTTCCTAGGGAGGCAAAAGGAGCAGAGGCAGAGGAGAGAAGCAGACATACCCAAGCGAATGCAGGGAACCAGTCAGCAAGTCTGAGGCACAGGGGAGGAAGCAGGCTACTCTCCGAACCCTGAGCCCCTTCTCGACCCCACAGATTCCCTGAGCAGGGCCTGTTCCCCACCCCCATGCTGCCACAACCTGTGGTAGCTCCCCTGACTGGTCCCAGTCACACCCGGCCCAGCCTGCCTGGCGTGGACCTTACCTGAGGAGGGGGTGATGGGGGTGGCAATGAGGCCATTGGCGTTGATGGCAGCCATGTGCTGCATCTGCACAGCAGCCATGGTGGCCATGGGGCTGAGGTAGGCGCTGTGCGCTGCCACCAGCGCTGCCTGCTGCTGTATCAGCTGGGGGCAGCAGAGGAGAGGAGAGTGGGACCAAGCCCCCTTTTCCCTAGCCTGGCCCCCCTCCCACTCCTGGGCCTCTGCTCTGGGAGGGAGGGCACAGGACATAGGAGGCCGGGAGAGGTGAGGCAGACCAGACCCAGTACCAGGGCAGTGCTCACAGCCTGGGTGTAGGCGCTGTAGGCTCCGAACTGGAGAGCGATGGGGCTGAACATGCCTAGCTGGCTCGCCACCTGCTGCATTCTGCGGAGACCTCGCTCCTTCTCGGTGTCAGCAAACTTCACCACCAGGCTGGATGAGGCACCCTGGGCGTAGGCCCCACATGCAGTCAGAGGGATGGAGTCGGGGCCCTAAGGACCTGGCCTCAGTCCCGCTGCTCATGGCTTGGCCTCTTTGGGAGGGCAGCCATCACTGCACCTCTGTCGGATGGGGAGCTTTCAATCCCACCCTCCCCCTGTGCCAAGATGCACACGAGACTAGAAGAAGTTGAGGAATGTGAAGTCATGTGCTTGCAAAGGGAAAGCCCTACCAGAATGCCAAGGGTATCCTGGCTTCTCTGTGAGGACTCTGAGCTGGAAGTCATCCCCAGGGTGGACTGGCCACAGCAAATGTTCTACCTCAGGTTGGTCTTGCCTTATAGCTGCCCTACCCCCTTACCATGCATGATTCCTGCCTCACACCCCAGTCCTCATGGTGTGCTCGGGGAATGCAGCCTCAAATTTTAATACCAGCCTGTACCAAATAAAGGCCAAGCTGGAACATTCACAGGATTTCTGTGGAATCCTAGAGTCTGGAAGGCAGTGCCCTATCTGACGCTGTACCTCTTTGCCAAGCTTCTGTTGAGTGCTTGCCCAGCCTCTGCTGGAGGAGCTCGAGTTCTGGGAGGCCCGCCTTCTCCAGCCACCCTGCTGGGAGCCCTCCACCAATGCAGGTTGGTGTCCCGCTGCTAATGTGCAGGGCAGCAGCATGAATGTGTGGAGGGCACAGCGGGCCTCTAAGCAAGTGTCCTGATGCCCGGCCAGTGAGGGTGGGAGAGAGGGGAAGGTGGGAGAAGTGGTGGGAGATGAAGGAGAGGGCTGAGAGACAGAGAAGGCAGGTGAGGAGGGGAGGGCATATGGGACAGGGGCAGAGGGCATGAGGGAGGAGAGGGTATTTGAAATGGGAAGGTGTCCCTGAGAAATTTGGTTCTTGTGCTGGAAAATTCTTTTGAATAAATTTAAAGACCCTCTCTGGGATGGACTGCCCCAGCCCCTGCACTAGGGCCTGGCAGCAGGCCAGGTGGGACCCAGGGAGCAGGCTCACTGGCAGGGTCCGGCTGTTGTGGAGGGTGTGGATGGCGGCTTGGGCCTCAGCATGGGTCTGGAACTTCACAAAGGCACAGCCTAGAGAGTTCGAGAAGGAGGAGGGAAGGGTGAGTGCCCACTCTTGAAGGCCCCACAATCCCCATTGCCCAGAGGACCAGTGAGATAAGGGCAGGGAGGTGAGAGGTCCCTGGTGGGGAACAGGTAGTGCATAGTAGGTACCTTTGCTGGTGCCATCTGGCCCCCGGAGCACAGTGCACTCATCTATGGTCCCGAAAGGCTCGAACATCTTCCTAACGTCCTCATCTGTCTGCTGCTTCCCTAGCATCCCCACAAAGAGCTTCCGGTCTTCTGGGGGGTAGAGCACAGGAGGAAGGGCATGTTCAGGGCCACCTGGCTGCTTTCACAGCCCTGTTCCAGCTTGGAACAGGCAGGAAGACTGCCCCTTCCCCTTCAGCACTTCCCTGGTGCTCCAGACACTCTCCTCACCCTGGGGACAAGTGGTTCTAGACTGTGAAAGGGATGGTGACTGGGGGATGGTGTACAATTACATGGAGTGCTCATCCCAGTTCTGAAGGACTGCACTCTACTTCGGGCCTCAGTTTTGCCATCTCTGCAATGGGCCAGATCATATCATCCAGCTACAATGACTTCTCTCCCCACCTTGACTGGGAACCCTTTGGAATCCTCAGACTTTCTTCATCAGGAGAGGTTGCCTCTCAGATACTCTAAGGCCTGGGTCTGCGGGCTGGTGGGGAAGGACTGAGTCCGAAGGTACAGAACCTACCTCCTCGACTCTCGCTGTCGGCTGGCTTGACCTGAATGGGCCTGTTCATCTAAAGGACAAAAGAGAAGGCAACTGCTAGGGACCTCCTTTAAAAACCCCAAAAGCCCTCCTCAAGCCAGGACCTGCAAAAAGGCTGGAGGGAGTAAGCCCTAGGCCCAGGTGACTTCCCAGCCTTCCGAGTTGCTGATGGGAAGGAAGGAGCTTGTTTAGGCTTAGGACCTGAGGGGCTTAGCGGCAGTGGAAGGAGAGTATGTAGAGGAGGATGCTCTAGCCTCAGGTGGGGACCCAGACAACTTGGCCAGGGAGAGGTGCTGCTCTCATTAGGGGGAGAAGGGGGCTCCCAGTAAGACCCGCATCTGGAGACAGAGCCCTGGCCGAGGGCTATTTAACAAGAGCTGCCTCAATTCTACAAAGTAAGAGCAGCAGAGGCCACCTCATCAAGCAGCCCCAAGGAAGACTCTAGACTGAGGGAGACCCCCACAGATGCACCAACTTCCTGCTGACCCCTAGAGGTTTGTCTACCTCTCTTTCTGTCCCCCAAAACCCCTTGACCCCAGGGGGAAGGCACTTGGGCAGCACAAAGGGAGCAGATGCCCAGTCTCCCTGGCAACAGGAGAATGCACACCATGGCAACCGCCCACTCAGCCTGATTTATCCGTCCTGTCGCCCTGGCGACCATGGTGATGTCATCATTTCTGCGGCTCAGCTCACCCAGAGAAGGAGTGGGGAGAGGGTGGGAACAGGGTATGCTGGGGTGTGGCGGGTTTGATGGGGGCTGGGACATGGGGGAGGGGCCCAGTGGAGTTTCCTGATTCTGGAGGGAGGAGGGCTGAACAGGCCCTGCAGGGGCCATACTGTCCCTTCTTCCTTCCTCCTCCAGATCAAACCCTGGTGTCTCATGGCCCAGAGGGTGCTAAAGGAGGAGTTGCTGTCCTGTGCTCTTGCTTCATTCGCCAGCTACCAGGAAGTCCCCCAGAGCTCTCTCCTCTTCCCCACCCCTGGAGTATCTCCCTTTGTTCATCATCCTGTAGGAACGCAGACCTCCCCAGTTCCACTCTCCATGTTCTTAACTGGTGAGAGGGCTTGGAAATGACTCCTGCAGGTTGAGTTCCTTACCCAGGGTGAGGAGTTATCTAAGGAACTGGGGGGAAGGAGAGGGATCAGTATTTAGTGTCTGAAAATATTTGCTATTGAGGACTTTGCAACTGGAGCCACACTTGGTCATCTGCCTCATCTGATGGTGGAGAAATCTTGGTTCCAGTGACCAAAATAAATACGTAAACAAAAGAAACCATTCATCTACACTCTGAGGGGGGCTAAAGCTACCCTCAGGAAAGTCACTGGCCTGGACATCCAGAGACCTGGGTTCTCACTAGTTGGGTGACCTTGGACAAGTCACTTGTCTCCTCAGGGCCTCAACTTCATCTGTAAAACAGCAGGGTGGGTCAGCTGGTAGTGAGTCAGGTTCCCTTCAACTCTCTAGCGTTTGGAGATCTTATGTGTCATCACAACACAGAAGGGCAGAAGTGATGGCTGTCCCCTTCCCCTTCCCACAATGGACTCTTTTCCCAGGTCCAGTCAGTCTGACTAGACTATTCCTGAGGAATTCCCAGCCCTGGATCAAATCTAAGCCCCACCTCAACCCACAGACCTTCTCCGCCCCACCCCCACCTCTGGGTCTGAGAGCAGCTGGTGGGGGAGGGGATGACAGTCACACAAATCCTCCAGCTTTATCCTCCACCAGTCTGGGATTATCCCATCCCAGGTCCAATCTCCTCAGAAGAGTGTGTGTGTAGCAAGGGGCGGGGGTCAGGTACTGAGGGCTCTTGGCCTCGACTCTCCATCTCCTGTGCTCTGGCCAAAGCAAGGAAGAGGGCCTCACAGGCACCCCAGCAGCTGGCCACCCCACCACCAGAAAGGCAGAATCACAGCCAGGTGTGTGATTCGCTATTCTGGTCGGGGACAGGGGCCCTGGGACCCGGAAAGGATGCCGCCCCTCTCTTCTTAGGCTCCAAGGCACAAAAACAGCATCTCGATAAACATCTGCCACTGATATGGACACATACAAAGCCCCACAGACCACAGCACGGATCGTGGCGATGGGAGGCCCCCCTGACTCCCTCCTAGACAGCCTAGACTCCCTCTCTGGCCCCCAGCACCCCAGCTCAGGCCTTTCTTTCTTGGCTTGGCACTTCCTGTGGGAAGCGCAGTCCTTGTTAGCTCAGCTCGGGCACACCTGCCTGCTCCCCTGGGCCCAGCTGAGCCCTGTTTACCCGGCAGCCCAGCTCCAGGGGCCTTTCCCCCCTCTCCACCAGCTGCCAGGTGACAAGCCCTCCCAAGGGCCTTCCAGAGAAGAGGAGGCTATTCGTGCCCCAGCTGCGCATCACTGGGATACTTGTACATGGCACTTGCACAGCCCTCATCCTTTTCACCAATAGCAAAGGCCCCACTTCCAAAGGCTCATCATTCCCACAAAACCTCATTCTCCTGAGGACACAGGCCTGGGGCCCTGCTTCTCCCGGTTCCAGACTTGGGCCTGGGGGTCCCAGACCACACGTGTTCTCTCCATGGGGCCAGAATCCCCCTGCCTGACAGCAGGCTGACAGGGAGACAGTGGGGAGGCCAGGACAGGCAGATGGAGTCTGTCACACCACCACCTCCGGGAGGCCAGCCCCTGCTCACAGGAAGAATTCAGGGATGCGTGGCAGAGCCACTCCAGGAACTCCCAGGGGAAAGGAAAGGTACAGGGGCTCAGTAGCTGCAGGCCCAACCCCCATTCTTTCTTCAGCCTGAAGCATTGCCCTAATGCGATGGCCCTTTCCAGATTCTGGGTGGCAAAGATGGACAGAGAAGAGAGAAGGCTAAAACAAGACCCTGCATTAGGCTGGCATGGAGATTAGACAATAGGAAGAACTTCCCACAGAGCTGGCACACTGTGCACACATTTGCATACACACTCACACACTCAACTGTCTGAGGGAAATGATGCTGCCCGGAAGGCAGGTGGCAGAGAGAAGACCTGGGCTTAGGCAGAGCTTGGCCACAGACATTTACCTGCTCCCCAGATGCCCTGGACCCCAGCAGGAGCCCCCCTTGGAGCCCCTCATTTCCTATTGGAGGCTCTGTGAGGTCTCTGGATTCTGTCCTCTGGGGCAAGGGCCAAAGCGGAGAACAGCAACACCTGGAGCTCAGGGGCAGGGCTGGACAATCATTAACTGGGGTGCCCTTCTCCCTCGCCTCCCACCCGGGCCTGATTTCCCCAGGAAGGGGAGGCAGCGCCTTTCCACACCTAGGACAGAGCCTTGCTTAAGCCTTGTAGGCAGCTGGAGGGGGACAGACGCAGGACAGGTGTCCCTAGCTGGCACAGGCAGCCCCGGGGCCCATGCCCACCTCCAGACCGTCTCTCCCACCCCATATCCACTCTTTCCAGTCTCCCTTCTTCTCTCTGCCTACTCCCTTGCCCCACTCCGGCTCCTGCAGGGCCTCTAAGAGCTACGGAGACAACAGGAAGACGGAGCAACTCCTATGGACACAGGAACTTGATTTGTGAGGGGCCTCACAGAGGGAAGAGAGAGAAGGGAAAGTTGCAATGTGATGTGATGGGAACCAGACTTCTTAGGGATGTGTGTGCACGCACAAAACTGCACCCTAAACACATCCCACACACCTCCATGCCCACAGCCCCCCCACATGCACTCATACACATCATATGCACACACCCCCACCCACTCACCCACAAGCCCACATACCCACACACACCACTCACCCCCACCTCCCCACCCATGCTAACCCCACCACAAGCATGCTCACACACACCTACACCCACACACACACACCACACTCATCCCCACCCCCACCCCTATGCCCCACACGTGCCCACACCCACCCNTAACCCCACCACAAGCATGCTCACACACACCTACACCCACACACACACACCACACTCCCCACCACAGCCATCTGCACACACCACACTCACCACACCCCACACACACACCTGTACACACTCAGAGTACACCCCCATCACACCCCCACACCACACTCACTGACAAATATACCCCCCACCCACACACCGCACAAACCCACATTAACACACTCACCCCAGCACACCCACACCCACCACACACATGTGCGCCTGTGCGCACACTCCTTGGAGACCAAGCCTGCTCACATACATGCACAGATCCTTAACTCTATGGGCAACAGCTGTACTGAGCTGCCTTGCCACCAACTGGGATAAGATAGTGGGGTGGAATGGGGAGCTGGTGTTTGGATTTGCTTTTCTAGCCATATCAAGGTTTCAGGGCTGCAGAGCGGGTAGGTCACAGGCCTATGGAAAGTTTGAAGTTGGAAGTGGTCGAAGCCAGCCTAATTTTCCTAGATTCCCCATCTTTCCCCATCTGTTTTGTTTATTTCCTTCCCAAGAAAAGACGGAGAATCAGCCTCGCTCTCCAATCCCCCCACTGGGGCAGGAGTGCAGGCTTTGACAGGTGTGTTTCCAGCACCCAGACCACGCTCAGCAAATGTTTGCTAAAGGGATGGAGGGGGTTAGCTCTCAGGAAGTACTTCCTGGGGCTCCTAGGGTGGGGGACAACAGGAGCAGACAGACAGCAAAAGGGAATGGCACATCATTTCCTCCCAGGTGGGGTGATTGGGGGCAGTCTGACATTCTTTACTCCTGTCCTCAGTTGCCAGCAGGGCAGGGATAATCTACAAGGCTGGCTGAGAAGAAGAGACCGAGACCTCTGGCCTTGCAGGAGGGAGGCCACTCCTCCTTCCCTGGGCACACTGGCTGGGGAGAGGAGGTCAGGCCTAAACCTCCGCAGTGACGGTCTGGCTCTGCTTTCCCTCCAGCGTATTCCCAGCTGGGGCCTACCCAGGCCCTGCTCCACCCTGACGCCCTGTGGCTCTTATTCCTGCTGGCCTTTCCTGGGAGACACCAGCTGAACCTGTCTGGGCTCAGAAGCCAGCCAGAGATCCCAGTCTAGCAGGCAACAGCTAGCTGCCCATCTTAGGCTGCAGTGACCTCTTTCCCATCTCACAGCCAGACTTCCTCCTCGGAGCCAGAGGAGAGCGCCTAGGTGCCTCCTGTTCACCATGCCCCACACTTGGTGTCCAGAGTCTTGTCCCCACGCCTCCCAACCAGCCAAGTCCTTCCTTTAAGTGCTGCTCCGCAGCAGCCGGCTGGAAAGTGGGGAAGGAACAGCATCTGCTCCCTGCAAAGGGGACATTCACTCTGCTAATCCCTGTTTTCCTTCTCTCCAGGTGAGAAGAAATGCATGCATTTGCAGCAAGAAAGAGGGATGTTAGAAGGAGAGGGGGACTTCCTGGTGATGAGAGGAGGTAGAAAAAGAGCTCCCTGTCTTGGGAAGCTGGTGAGCACCCTGCCCCTTCTAAGACCCTTCTTAGCCCCCTGGCCCTGCAAAGGCCAGGACTCACCCCTGGAAGCGTCTTCTGTTCGTGCAGGGCGCTCTGGGCCTTCAGGGCTGAATCGCGGGCACAGTATGTCAGGAAGGCACATCCTGAGGAGGCGCAGGGGCAGAGAGACCGGGTTGGTGGGTGTGAGTCGCTGGTCTCCTCTTCCTGAAAAGCTTCCCACCACAAGACTGAGGATTGGGAGGCGCTTCCCCTCTTGGTACCTTCTGCCTGCTGGGGTGGGGGTGTCTGGGAGGGGATAGACATTCTCCCCAGGGAGTCTTTGGGCCAGTGACTCCAAGCACAGACCCCAAGACTAGGACTGGAGGGCTTAAATTATAGTGGTGATGGAAGAGGGAGCAGGCTTGGGCTGCTGGGAGCTGGGGCTTTGTGTAGGGGGAGGAGAAGGGGCATGTGATCCCAGACAAGTGTGTGATGTGGTTTTCTCTTCCTTAGCTGGTCTCACCCCCCTTTCTCCTTTGCCTCCACTTCCCTCCATCTTGGCCATTCTCACCCCTCTCCTCTCCATTTTCCCTATTTCTTCATCTCTCTCCAACTCTACAGGAGGCAGGTGGAGAGCGGAACAGAGAGGAAAAGGAAGAGCCATCACCGGAAGTCCCTGGGCCGGAGAAGGGGGAGGCAGTGTGGCTCCTCAGACCCCTGGTGCCTGGTGCGCCCGAATCCTGACTGGGCTTGCACCTGCTTAGCCCCCAGCCTTTGGACGGCCCGAGGAATGTCCTCTTTCACCCCCAGCTCTCTTAACTTCCATCCGCACACTTCCGGATCTCCGGCCTTCATACCCTGTGTCCCAGGCCCCTCTCTGGAGTCCTGGAGCTGCCCTGCCCACCCCATATCCACTCTTTCCAGGTTGAGCAACTGATCCTCTGTCCTGACCCTCATTCCGATAGTATCTGAGGCTACTAAGATTCTCAATCTTGTGTGCTCCTGTGTGTGTGTGCGTGCGCGCGCACGCACACACACACACACACACACACTCTCTCTCTCTCTCATACAACCCTGCCAGCTCCTTATCTCCCAAACCAGCTCTCTTGCTCCTCCAATCTTCCTTGAGTTCATCCATGACATCACCCCCTTATCTCTGGGACCCACATGTCTGCCGCCCCCTTGACAACTCTTCCCGCAAAGAGGCCCTCCAGGCCCGCCATCTGGGGTCCATGCTGACCCTCCGCGAGTTCTCTTCCAGCCCCTCCATACACACCGGCCAACCCCTGAACACTTTCTTTCCATATTGGCCCTTTTCAGCCACTCCATTCCCCCAGCCTGGCTGTCCCCTCCTCCCAGCCTCCCCGCTCACCCCTGGACACCTCTTCAGCCCAGTCTGACCCCTCACCCTTGTGCAGCCCAGTGTACTTGTCCTTGATGACAGTCAGCTCGAAGATGCGACCAAACTGTTCAAAGATGGGCTTCAGATCCTTTTCCTCCAGATGCCTCGGAATCTGCCCCACAAACAGCTTGATGGCATCCGGCTCCTTCATTGGGACGGCCCAGGAGGAGGGGCCGAGGGGAGCAGGGAGAGGCCCAAGGGCCAGGGGGAGCTGCCCGGCAGGGAGGCGGGTGGTGGGGGCCGGGGCCCAGCCGGGGCTGGCTCTCCCGTCGGCCCCCAACCACAGTGCTGAGCAGAGGGGCAGTTTTTCACACAAAGGAGGCCTAGGGAGTTGAGGGCTGGGGGTCAGGGGTCTAGACCGAAACGGTCATGCCACCAGGGGGCATAGCCCAAACAAACGATCTCCCTCCCAGAGGCCTGGCAAATATCCCAGGATGGGGGTCAGTGTGGCCCAGACTTGATCGGTTAGGGCGGTAGCAGGGGTGCTGGTAAGTGGGGGAAAGGGTTTGAAGGGGGGCGATCGGGTGGAAGCTTAGGGGCTGGGGGCCTGGTCTGGTTGCCAGCAGCGTCAGTGGTTGGGGCGGGGGCCACTCCTGGTGCGGGGCGGGTGGAGCTCTCGTTGGCTTCCCCAGGAGGACACCTCCCCTTGGCTGATCCTTCTCCTGGGTCCGAAGATCCCTGATGCCAGATGCTTGATCTCTGATGGCGGCAGGGCTGCGGGGCTCCCTTGGCCCCGCTACCCCCTTCAGGCGCTCCCCTCAGCTCCCCTCCCACCCCCGCCCTGCTCCCGCTGCTGGGGCTGCCTGCTTTCCCGGTCACCTGGGTCCCGGAGCTCTGCTCTCCGGCCGCGCTCTCCTCAACAAAAACCTCCCCCCTCCACACACCCCTCCCCGCTCCCGCCTCCTTTCCCCCGACAGCAGTGATGTCAGTCTCAGGGGTGGAATACAAATTCTCTGCCCCGGAGAGGGACGCACGATCCAGACAGGAGCCACGCCCTCTTTCTGTCGCTTTCCTCCCTGACTCCCTTCCCATCCCCAGAAGAGCAGCTGGTCCTGTTGATAATAACCCTTCCCCGTCTTACTCCCCATCACAAGCTGGGCAAGGTACTAAGATGGAGAATTTGTAGAGGAGCCCTAAAGTGGGGTCCATTGTTCCGGGGGCTGGAGCTGTCCCCGGTGCTGAAAGAGAAGACCCAGGAGAGGGGAGGAGGGGGGAGCAAAAGAGGGGAGCCAGCATCTGGGGAGACCGATAGTGGGGAGACAGGGAGATAAAACAGGGAAAAGTAAATGGCATAGAAACAGTTGGGCAGGTTGGGAGTGGGGGAAAGAGAGGGGTGTAGCTGGGAAGGGAATCAGGTTGCAGAGCCTTGAGGTAAGTGCAGAAGGGACCCAGAGAGGAAAGATGGAAAGGAGAGCCAGAAAGGAGAGAGGTGGGTGAGTTGAGTGCAGAGAGAGAACTGTGCATTTTCCAAGAAAAATATATCTTGCTGGTATTTGCCAACACTCCCTTTTCTCCCTCTGGGGTGCTGTGTGTATAAGTGCATGGGCAGGGAGCCCACAAGAGCTCCCACTTGTAAGCTCCTTGAAGACCAGGACATGATTTAATTCAGCATTTTGCTGTTCACAGTGTGTATCTAGTACAGTGTCTTGCTCATACATAGTAGGCGCTTAACAAATATTTCTCAAGCATACGGTTGATGCAAAGAACTTCTGACAAGAGTAGATTCCTGATTCCTTCAGTGGGAAGAACCAAAGCTGTCAAGCTCCCCTTTAGGGCAGAGGAAATCCAAGTACTCCTCCCTTGCCTGCAGCACCACCATCCCCACCCCTTAGGTGCCTTGAGTGGTACTCTTTGCAGCAAAAAGGGGATAGGGAGCACATTTGGGGGCCATTTCTCCCCTAAACAACTATACTTGTGTAGATGATCAGTTTGCTCCATCTCCATGGAGCTTGACCTCCCTGCAACCCTGTGCACCGGACCCACTCACAACTCCCTCTCAATGCAGCGGGGGAGCTCCTCAAAGCTCCAAGAAGGGGCAGTCCTTGCCTGCCATCAGGTGCTCACCAGCTGGGGCTCACAGCTTTGGTAGAATACCCTCCTTCTGGTCTTTCCCTTCTTTACCCCTGAGTGGGGCCTGATGTCTTCACAGTGGCGCTAGTGACTCTGTAATATGTCCCAGTAGCCCCATACCCCAGCTATCATGGTAGGCAGTCTTCTCTTCTGGAAGGGAAGTGATAGTAATGGTCAGCTCTTAGCTGGCACTTACCGAGTCCCAGGCATTGCTCCAAGTGCTTTATGTTTACTGGCCTGTTTAAACCTTTGCATCACCCTATAGTGTAGGTTCTATTATTATTTCCCAATATAGAAAACTAAGGCACAGAGAGATTAAATGAGCTGCCTAAGGTCACACAGCTAGAAAGAGGTCTAGCTGAGAGTGGAGCCTGCTCAGTCTGGCTTCTGAGTCCATAAATTTGACTCCCACATTGAATGCTCCCTGTGGGAATGGGGGAGTGTCCAGCCTGGCTGAAACCTCCTATGTCTCCGTTTGAGCCCTGGGTGAGAGATATCCCTCTTTCTTTGACTCGATGCTCCATTGACCACCTTCCATCCTTTCTGGGTCTCTGTGGCCTGAAACCACATTCAGGCAGGTGTGTATGACTGAGTGCTTGCATGTGTGTGTGCATAGACATGATTGCATTTCATCATGTGGATGCCCACGTCCTCCCAGGAGGTCCGTCTGTGGTGGATGGGTTGGGGGAGGTGTCAGAGGACCCAGTGCCAGTGGTTAGAATATGTGACAGCAGTGCCAGGGACCAAGAGTGCAAACACATCTGGAAAGTGACTTTCCACTCCCCTACCCCACCCTCACTGTTCCTTTTCTGCTTTCTAATCTGATCTTGGTCTTTATAGAGATGCTAAACAGATCACACCTCTGGAACACAGAGCCTAGGAAGACCCCAAGCCCTGGGCCCTGTTGATCTCATTACTCTGTGTCTTGTCAGCAGATCTGCCTCCCTGCTGCTCATTCAGGCTTGGGGCTAATCATATTAATTGAAATACTAAACATTTACAGAAATGAATTATAATGAACCCCCCTCACTCCTCCTCCCAGCCAGCAATTGGGGAGACAGCTGCAGGCAGCAAAACACCTCCAATCCTTCGCTTAGGTTGTGGTCCCCAGATAGAAGATTTCACACTGAGTGGAGAGGCAGGGTTTAAGGGAGAAGAGGTAGAAGCTCTGGCCAAACCCTTCCTGCAGGGGGACAGTGGGCACATGTCTGTTTTCCTTCAGGCCCTGTGAGGTAAAGACTAGGGTGACAACCCTGTGACTCCAAGTCCATTCTGGGGAATTGCTCTCCAGGAGGAAAAGGCTTCCAGGCCTTATTCCTCCACAGTGCTTTCTCTGCCCACCATCCCCAAGCTCATCCTCTTTCTTATTCCTCTGCACTGAATGCATAAAACCCTACATAAAAGGATTTTTGACCTTATGAAGGGAGAGCTCTACTCCTGGTTTTAGGTTCTTAAATGAGAAATGCTGAATAATTGGAATTTTTTCAGAAAGGGCAAAATGTAGTTGTGATATGTGTGGGCAGAGTGGCTAGTCACCAAATACTTGCTGGTCTCACTAAAAACAGTGAAGCTGTCTACAGCAGAATCTATGAGAATGCACAAAAAGTTGATTGTAATGTAACCTTCTTTCCTTCAAGTGTCGTCTACCTCAAGTGGAGAGGTAAAATAGGCCAACACAATGTGCAATAGTGAGGACTGAGATGCTGTTAATAAAATAAAAGTAGCCTCTCTCATTTACACATACAGGTATTTGGGATTTGGGCCATGGGATGTGATCAGTCAAAAAAAGGCTTCATTGATTCTCAAAGCACAAGCAGATCAGACTGGCAGAAGGAGGACATTAATTATTTTATGGATGGAGGTGAGGTGTCTGAGGGAACTGTGCATACATGTGCATGTGTGTGTGTGTGTGTGTGTGCACACAAGTGCATATATATATAGATTTGCAAGACTAGACCAGCACTGTTTAATATAATACAAACCATTTATATAATTTAAAATTTTCTAGTAGCTGTATTAAAAATGTAAAGAAACAAGTGAAATTACTTTTACTAATATATTTTATTTAACTGATTTATACAAAATGTTATTCAATGCGTTTATATGATATATTCAAATTTTCAATGTGTAATCAATATAAAGATTATTAATGAGATAATTTATAGTATTTTTAATAAGGTATCATTGATATACACTCTTATGAAGGTTTCACAAGAAAAACACTGTGGTTGCTACATTTACAGTATATTTTATACTGTTTTCAAAATCCAGTGTGTATTTTACCCTCACATTTGACACTTTCAGCAAATTTCAAGTGCTCAAGAGCCACAAGTGGCTCATGGTGACCTTATTGGACAGTGCAGCTCTAGAAGTTCCATCACTAGCTCCTCTGGGGGGAGGAGGGGTGGGAAGAGACAGGTCTTGGCCATCAAAACTATCACCTCTGATTAACCTCTGCTCCCGCCTGAAAAAATCACTTCTGACAGATGGCAGCTTATCCACCTCTCACTCTATTAGCTCTCCTTAAAAACGACCAACCCAAATGATTACTAACCCAAATGGGGCTCCTGGCAAGAGGCTTGGAGCCCACTACCTAATCTACCTCTGTGGTTGTTTCCTGGCTTGGGAACTGCCAACATTTTCACTTCTTTTCCTCAGTCTTTGCTGAGGATAGAAGCAGACCACCTAGAGACCCCTCCAGGGCCATAACCTGCTGCTGGGTTTGCTTCTCATGCACTTTCCCTGCAGTTGTTTACAAATCTGAAAAGACAGGCTCTCTTCTCTGTCCCTCCCAAAGCCTCTGCTGGGCATGATCTCTGGAGGTGTAGAAACTCAGCACGTGTGGACTGACAGAAAGGCTCCTGCCCTTTCCAAGGCACTATTTTCAGCATTCTGGCTTTACGTTTCACTTTCCTTTCTTAGTTAGATACTAGAAGAACACATCTTGAAGACCAACTGCCTTTCCCCCTTCCCTACTCAATTAGTAGTGGGAGAAATAATTTAGAATTTATGAGGAGCAAATTAATCTACACAAGATAGTCCAAGAAGGGAAACTTCTGGCAGGATGTCCCTGCAGGTCCTTTCCAGCATCTTTAGTCTGAGATCTGCATAATTTGGTTCACTACAGTCTGTGAGGTTCTTTCATGTACTTTAAAGAATCTAGAACTTAAAACAATGTCCAGCGTCGACAGGACAGGCGGCGGGGTTTGGCTTCCGGGCGGTGGGGATGGAAGAAACCTGGATTCGCTTTCCCTACTCCTGGCTTCATCCATCTTCCACCCAAGTGAAACGGCAGGGAACCAGTCTGCGAGCTTCTGCCCTTAGTTTTGCTCTAGAGCTAAGAAAGTAACTATTTGAGGTTGGGTGGGGTCAAAAAGAAGGGCTCATTCCATATACAATCAAGCCAGGAAATCAGTCCCCCAACCTGCGAGGCAGAACCTTTAGAGTCCCGTGGAGTTCACGCCTACGTTTCCAGGCGCTGCGTGCGGCTCCCTCAGACCCTCCCCTCTGCCGGAGGGGGCCGGGCTCCGGGGCGGGGCCTCAGCTTCGCGAGGCCCGTTGCCCTGACGACCGTGACAAAATGGCGACTCTGCAGGGCGGGCCTCTGGGGCCCCTCCCGGACCCCGAGGCCCTGAGCCCCGCGCAGGTAGAGCAGCTGCGCAACTTAAAGGTGGGTGCATCCCCCACCTCCGCCTCCACCAAAGTGCAG